ATATATATATATAGAATATATTTTTTGAGGGCCCCAATAAAATGGGGGCCCTAGGCATATGCCTTAGTGGCCTATGCCTTCAGCCGGCCCTGCCAATTGTCTCAACAAACCAATAACACCACAATAGATACTCCAGTTCCAATTACACCAATGAATAACACCAAATACTGGTGTTCCAAAAATTATCCCATTATCCCATTTTTTACACCGATGAATAACCCCCCCCCTAAGTGTTCCCAAACAAGGTGAATGGTTCCCCTAACTTCCCTTCACCCTCATTCCCCTCAATCCAAACAAGCCCTAAGTGTTCCCAAACAAGGTGAATGGAAGTGAATGGTTCCCCTAACTTCCCTTCACCCTCATTCCCCTCAATCCAAACAAGCCCTTAAGGTTTCTTTCAATTGTATCATAACTCTAAAATTGTGATCTGAATTAATGGAGTGTTAAGATTTTATATTCTAGAAGCCTCTGGCACGTCCAACTAACTGAGCATCCTTTTGACCCGTCGAAATTGATGTATACAAATTTATTTTTTTTTAAAAAATTCCCGTATTATCGATTTTCCTATTTATAAATGTCACTCCCTTCCGACCCAAAATCCTCAACGCCTTAGCCCAAGCAACGTACACGTACTCACAATGAAAATCCCCAAAACTCCGCTCCTCGCCCTCCTCTCTCTCATCCCTCTCACCCTCTCAGAACTGCAAGAAGCTGAAGTCAATGGGATGTTCGTGTTCGGGAGCTCTTTGGTTGATAATGGCAACAACAACTTCCTCAAGAACGCAACAACGAAGGCAAACTTTCACCCATACGGCGTAGATTTCCCTTTGGGCCCATCCGGTAGGTTCTCCAACGGGAGGAACGCCATTGATGTTCTCGGTGGGCTACTCAAGCTTCCAAGGCTCATTCCACCCTTCACCGACCCGAGAACAAGAGGGGCTAGAGTTGTTCATGGGGTTAACTTTGCCTCTGGGGGTTCAGGGATTTTGGACCAGACTGGGTCTTTTCGGGTAAAGTTTTCACCTTCTTTTTTCTTTTTTTTTTCTTTTTTGAGGCAATTATTTTCGTATGTACCGTAGCTAGAGTCATGTCTCTGTACCCTCTGCTGTTAGTAGATAAAAACTAATCTCTTATTTGAACTGGCCATGCTGGTGTCAGACGACTTCAATGTATATTCCCAAACATTTGATTTCAGTGTGTTGACATCGTATTCTCTTATACATGCATGCAGGTCTGAAATATACAACTCTATAGTACACAAACATACAGCAGAGATGAAAAAAAAAGGGACCCCTGTGCCTTTAAAACATTAGTGTTTTATTTGTATTATTTTCATTTGACCTGCTACTCAAGTTCTCCAGCAGATCGAGAATAATGAGTACCATTGTCACATAAGTTCATTTCCTAGAAACTTAATTTTGGGAGATTACTAATGGGAAATAGGTTGTGGGACCCATTTTCGTGTTTTCAAGTCCATTTCACGACTTTTTGAGAGAAAATGGATTTTCTTAAATTTGGGACTCGTGTCACTAGCTATTATCTTACTAGTGGGTGGGTTCCACAGGCACAATATCTCTTTTTTTCATCTCTTAACCAAACACAAGAAAATGATATCAAACACCTTCGTATGAGTGTGTTGGGTGTTTTGGTTTCCTTTACTTAGTTTCTCAGCCAACCAAACAGCCCCTAAAGGGATTCTTTCATACGACAATGATATGGTTCAATTTTAACCAGGTGATAAAAAGGGAGAGAGAAACACTCATATAGAAACATTTAGTTAAGATTGCGTCAAATCATAATTATAAATGAGAAAATTCCCTCGTACCATATATTAATCTCATTAACATCTTTCGATTGTAAAACACTTTCTAATGAAAAAGTATACCAATTCGATGCCTGTGCCTCAACAATAAACCAGTCCGTTTTACGTTCCTATTTTAGCTCAGTTTCGTCACTAAAAGTCTCTGTAACTTTCATTTTTCGCTTAACCTATTTTAAGAAGCTTGCCCATTAAATGAAGAACAACGAAAGTAATTTGATCAAAAGTTTTCCTCAAAGTTAGTGTTAAATGGGGTGGAGAATTTAACCATGCATGTTACAAGGTCTTGTGTCCAAAAAAATAGATAGTTGCTCTACTTAGTTAATTTTTTAAGATAAAACCTAATGGCTTATTATTGTCCCCTTGCGCGCGTTAATAATGCATCAAAATGATATCTAGCTACTCTTGATCAATACCTAATACCCCATTCCACTAATCTAATTATAGACATCATTTGATAATACCGTTAATGTGATGGATCCGAATCACTTTCCATAACATGAACCCCTTATAAAAAAATTATTAGCTACTCCTTCATTGAATGTACTACTAAAAGCAAGCATTTGTTCGTTGCAGGGGGAGGTAATGAGCTTGAGCCAACAAATCAGGGACTTCAAGGTTACCACGTTGCCTCAACTGAGGACTCAACTAAGATGCGTCCACAGTCCAAGATTATTTGAGGACCACCTCTCAAATTACCTATTTGTGGTAGGAACCGGAGGAAATGACTACCTACAGTATTTCGTCTCCAAGGAGAAGGATAAAGTTACAGTGCCCGTGTTTACTGAGAGCCTCATCTCGACGTTGTCACGCCAGCTCAAGGTACTTAATTGGTCATCTTAATAATTTATTGCTATATGGGGGAGTTATTTGCAGAATCTGATAGAAATTTAATTAACTGTAAAATTAACCAGTCCTTGGTGCAAATTAAAGGAAAGGCATGGCTCAAGATTAAAACAGTAAGTTTGATCATTGAAGCTTCGCAACTCCCAAGACTAATATTGTTGAACTTTTTCTGAAGAAGCTATTAAAGAATCTTTTTTCAATTCTTAGGAAAAAGCTACAGCGAGACACGTAATTAAGGGTAAATTTCACGAAACCAACTTTTATCCATTTTGAGACAACTCTGATCATCAACTTTTAAAATGTCACTTAACTCCCATAACTTTTGGGTTTTCCAAATGGTAAAGTACACTAGACCCCAAAGAACTCTCAACATTTTGCAGTAAATCCCAAAAACTTTCAAAACCACAATAAATGCCAATAATTTGGAATTGCATAAAACCCCCAATAAGTTTTCACATTTTTACAGACAACCCCCATAAAATTGAACAAGAAAAACAATATAAAAGAAATTTTGAAAGTTAATGGGGTTTATGCAAAAGATATTGGAGTTATTCTGTAAAAGTTATTGGGGGTTTAGTTCAATTTTGGAAGTTATTCGAGGTTTACGGCAAAACACTAAAAGTTCTTATTCACCCCCCCCCCCCCCACCCACCAAAAAAAAAAAAACATAACCCTCTAAAAGTTGGGGTTTTGTGAAATTAATTAAACACCAAATGAAAGTTTGTGGGTTTGTGCCATTTGAATGTTTGTTGGTAACAACAACATATTTATTTGGTAAAGAAAGTAGAAGTAGGGAATCATGCATGTTGGACCAGATCTAGAAGAAACTATTTATTATGGTTCATGTTAACTATATAGTTTGTACATCAAGTAAGACTATTTTTAAAATTAGTGTAAACTGCAATGATCTGGAATACAAATCTTGTAAGAAGACGAGGCATGTGAGTGGAATATTCTGAACTATATGCTACAATGTCAACTACATGTTGCGACTGATGCTTTGAGAAACCAAACCAACGAACGCCGAGAGAAAGACCAAACAAAACACAAACACCAAGGTTTTACGTGGTTCGGCAAATTGCCTACGTCCACGGGGCAAGAAGGGGGTGGGTTTTCACTAATAGAGAAGGAGAGTACAAATTGAGATTACAAATCGCTCAAACGAACCAACTAATCTCACCAACAAATCTCTCAATCTCTCAACCAATAACCCTAACAAATAGCTCAGAAAGATCTCTCTTTTTCTGTGCTCCAAAACCCCAAAACTCTCCTCACAAAACCCTCAAATCGTATTGGTATTTATACCAAAACAGAAACCCAAACAGACTGCAAATAGGAACCTGAACTTTCCAAAAAACCCGTCATAAGTCGACTTATCAGTCTGCATAAGTCGACTTGGCAGAGCGAAAAACAGCAACTGGAGAAGAGATCATAAGTCGACTTATCAGACCTGATAAGTCGACTTGGCAGAGCAAAAAACCAACAATCCAGAGCAGAACGTAAGTCGACTCATGCACCAACATAAGTCGACTTACCATAAGTCGACTTATGCCTGTGCATGAGTCGACTTATGACCAAAAATCTGCTTTTTCCAATTCTTCTCCACAATTCTCCACCTCGGCGAAGTTTTCCCAAAACTGAGCCGACACCAACCAAACAAATGCCTCACATGCTGAGACCCAAATGAGAGTGTGAACACTCACCCCAAATGTCGATGTCGCTCACCAAATCGGCTGCATCAAAATGACTGCCTACGTATCCTTTGCCCAAGGAATCAAGCCTTCACGTAGTTCACCCAAACGGCCTCCAAAGGCCCTCAATCAAATAGAAAAGTCTGCAACTCTTCTCCAATATCACCAAACGATCTGCAACTGATAGTATTCCCAATGACCCCAAATTGAGACAAATCAAACACCTCCACCTGAGGTAAACCAATGGCCATATCCAAACTATATCTACCAGCTGCAACTGAATCCAAAACCAATCCATCATCTGCATCCAAAACCAAATGATCTCCAACCTGTGTCACCTTAGCTGGAATCCCAAATGACGCAGTATGATCTGGAGTATGTGGAGTAATCTCCACCCAACGTGGAGTAGCATCACTCTCCACCTGCTGCGATATCCAAATGACCTGATCAACACTCTCCACCTGCCGAGAGTCAAAAGTGACATACCTGCTCAGAACAAAATCAGAAGCTCCCAAACGATAATCAACTGAGCCTCCGAACCCCAAACGCGCAATCGGATCCAATCTCACATCCACGATGTGACCAAATGCTGGGTATCCAAATATCCGACGCGACCCAAAATCTGAAGCAGCTCCACCAGATCTAATAACTCCTAAAGCAGCAGTCGGCGACCTATGCATAAGATGACCCAAATATGTCGAAGCCCGCACACCAATGCCAATGCTCGACATCAAACGCCGATCCTCCTCCAGAAAGGAACGACCCATCGAAACTGTCATCTCATCTCGTCGCCCCAAAGTCTCCACACCAATGAAGTGTCTCCTATTGCCGTGAGCTCGGCACCAACGCAAGAAAGGACCCCTACCAAAGCTGAAACAATGAGTTACCTTTCTGCCAATACACTTCTTCCAATTGTTGTTGACTTCTAGGACTTTACACCAACGGGAACTGGTCGCGACCCAATAATGCCTAGAACAATCACCAACTGTGGAAACCAAGATACGATTACCTCCCAATGATGCCTCCTTGGAAGGCCCCCAAATGCCTGACTGAACACCTCCAAAAAGACCCCTCGCTCGATGGATAGAAGTGCCAAACTCCACCACGGTCTCGCTCATCCTAATGTGCTCACAGGACTTCAATCTGCAGGTCATAGCACTCCTCAACAACCAATGCACGGTATTACCAATCATATACCCCAGCACCAAACAATGCCACAGTCTAGCCGAATCTGATGAAGTCGTCATTTCCCTATCAATCACCGTGCTTCCGTGCAAATAATACAAATTTCTTCTTCTGACGCCCTTCATCACAATCATGGACCCAAATGTAACCTTCAAGCGTGCATCCGCCAAGGTCACCCTATAGCCAGCTGCCTCCAAAGCTCCAAGTGAAATGATGTTCTTCTTCAACTGAGGAACGAACCTCACTCCAACCAACTCCCGAATCACCCCGTCACTCATCCTGATCCGAACAGTACCAATACCACCAATAGAGCATTTGTGATCATTCCCCATGAGCACGAAATCCCCTCTTTCCAACTCCTGAAAGCTGGAGAACCAATCCCTCCTAGGGCAAATGTGGTATGTAGCACCCGAATCCAATATCCACTCTGTAGAGTAGGCAACACAAACTGACGGCAGTGCAGATAACGAGTAGCCCGAAGAATCCGAATCTGAATCGTTGCCACTAGCCTTGACAACATTCGCCTCTGAAGCTTGAATAGCTTTTCCCTTATTCTTCCCGGCTCGATCAACTAACTTTGGGCAATCGGCTTTCCAATGTCCATCTTCTTTGCAAAAGGCACATTGATTCTTACGAACTCCAAGATGTGCCCCTCTAGACTGCGACCTCCCACTACGGTTTGGACCCTTTGCTCTTGCGACCAACGCCCCCGCTACCGGCTCAAACGAAGTCTCCTTATCCTTCTTTCGAAGCTGATAATTCACAAGTGCAGCGGTGACCTCACTATACGAAAGAGATGCCTTCCCATTAATAAGAGTAAGAACGAAGGTCTCATATTCCTCGTCAGGCAAGGAACTCAATAGCAACAACGCCTTGTCCTCATCTTCAATCTTAACATCCACATTCGCCAAATCCGCAAGAAGCTTCGTGTAGTGGTTCATGTGATCACCAATGGAGGTTCCTTTCTTCAACTGGAAGCGGTAAAGCCTCCTCTTCAAATGCAAGCGATTCTCCACACTCTTGGTCAAATACTTGCTCTCAAGGATCTCCCAAATCTTCTTTGCAGAAGTCTCATTGATCACATCATACTTTAGATCTTGAGTGAGACAAGACCTAATCACACCACACGCCGTTCGATTCATCTTTTTCCAAACCTTCTCATCAATGTTGTCCGGTTTCCCGTCCAACTCCAACGTATCTTCCAAATTTTGCGCGTTGAGCGCATCCATGACTTCGCATCGCCAAAGTCCAAAATTGTTTGTGCCATTGAACTTTTCCACATCAATCTTCATTGAGTGGATATTCAAGCTTTGGACGGTCTTCACGCCGGAAGTACTGCCCACAACTCCTTCTTTCTCGGCCATAATCCTCAAGGCACCACCAAACCAATGCGGAAACAAACGAGAAATAGATCCAAACTGAAAAAGACGAGATTTTTACAAAAAAAGATCCCACCTTTATCACCAAACGAAGCCCTAGATGAACTTCCAAAGCGATCTACTCCTCCAAATAGCCCAAGCGTTGCCCGTGCTCTGATACCACTTGTTGTGACTGATGCTTTGAGAAACCAAACCAACGAACGCCGAGAGAAAGACCAAACAAAACACAAACACCAAGGTTTTACGTGGTTCGGCAAATTGCCTACGTCCACGGGGCAAGAAGGGGGTGGGTTTTCACTAATAGAGAAGGAGAGTACAAATTGAGATTACAAATCGCTCAAACGAACCAACTAATCTCACCAACAAATCTCTCAATCTCTCAACCAATAACCCTAACAAATAGCTCAGAAAGATCTCTCTTTTTCTGTGCTCCAAAACCCCAAAACTCTCCTCACAAAACCCTCAAATCGTATTGGTATTTATACCAAAACAGAAACCCAAACAGACTGCAAATAGGAACCTGAACTTTCCAAAAAACCCGTCATAAGTCGACTTATCAGTCTGCATAAGTCGACTTGGCAGAGCGAAAAACAGCAACTGGAGAAGAGATCATAAGTCGACTTATCAGACCTGATAAGTCGACTTGGCAGAGCAAAAAACCAACAATCCAGAGCAGAACGTAAGTCGACTCATGCACCAACATAAGTCGACTTACCATAAGTCGACTTATGCCTGTGCATGAGTCGACTTATGACCAAAAATCTGCTTTTTCCAATTCTTCTCCACACTACAATGACCAACGAGGCAGCGCTTCTCTGCAACTCTCATCTCAAGTCTCTTGCAAGAAGCTCAAATGATCAAATGCCCGATTCTAAAATGGTCTTTGTTGATTCTTACAAGATCATCAGAGATATAATTGATAACCCCGTCGATAATGGTAATTAATCTCCTTTTTCTGTATCGATCATATGTGCAAGTTTCAAAGTTTGGTCTAGTTTAAGGAAATGTCAGCTACGTCCAATTCGTGCACCTTATTGTGTCTATTTTCAGACGCGATTATTTGGAACATTTTGAGAGTTAAGTGACATTTTCAAAATTTTGGACCTAGAGAGTAAACATGTAAATCGAGGGAGGATTTAAAAAAAAATGAGATAAATTCAAATAGAAAAAAGACATTGTGTAATTTTTAGACACAAATACAATTGAGCAGTTTGAAATTTTCAACTCTACAAGTCCTAGTAAATACTTGCAAACTTGTAGTCACACAGAGAGTTCGCAGTCCATGAAGTTTGCTTGTTCAATTATCTACCTTGATCAACCTTAAAATTAACAAATTTTTTTTTTGTCTTTTGCATGTTTTGGTGTAGATTATGTATACAAAAAATAGAATAAATATGTAGTTTCTCAAAAAGAAAACAAAAGGTAGTAAAAATCTTGTGCTTCGCTTCAGGATTCTCCGACACGAGCAAACCTTGCTGTGAAGTGTCAACACCCGCAGAAGGTGGAAACGGTGTCCTCTGCAAGAGAAACGGGCGCGCGTGCGAGAATCGTAGAGGACACGTGTACTTCGATGGCCTTCATCCGACGGAAGCCGTGAACGTGAGGATAGCACGTAAAGCTTACGATGGTTCAGATGTTGAGGAAGCTTATCCCACAAATGTGAAGAAATTAGCTAGGCTGTAGATTTACCAGTGTTTCCAAAGCTTTTTGTTAATTTATAGCTCTTATTTGCGTTTTGATGCAATCACATGCAACTAAGATTGCGTTTGTGTTAGAAGGAAGTTTGGGATTATTAGTTTATGCAATTGCAATGTCTGTACCAAAGGTGTTCGTATATATATATATTTTAGATCATTCGACCGCGCACATCTATTCCTTTATACAAATAGGAGGATCAGAGATTCACTGTTCATGCTACAATAAATGTTACAGTAGCATTTTACTGTAGCGTTATTACTGTAGCTAATAATTAATTTAAAATAGCACTGTAGCACACGTGCATACTGTAACATTTGAAAGGTATTGTAGCAGAGCGGGATACTGCAGCACTTCAAAAAATTCAAAGCATGCCATATTAAAAAAACGGGATTACTGTAGCAAAAAAAAAAAAAAAAAAAAAAAAAAAAAAAAAAAAAAACGTGCTTTGCACGGACCGCAAACTAGTCTTTGGAAAGAGAAATCTGATAGAAAAATCCATATAGAAAAAGACGTATGCATGATGGTGCTGTCAAAAAGAAAATTACTAGTATAAAAATCCGAAAATAAAGAATTAGAAATTCTAGCCTGATCGGGAACAGTCGTGTAAACACGTGGCCATGTGTGCCTGTGTTATGAAAAGCCCACCTAATATGAAACCCAAAACACTACTCAAAATCCAATAAGAGGTGTTTTAATATAAACCCCTTACTATTCATCTCAATTTCCAATGTGAGACTATTCACAAAGGCAAAATTTTCTTTTCATGAACAACATAACCAACATATAGCAATTATATCCAATCATATATCGACTTTATATTGATTTAGAATTGATATGTTCAAAATCTGTTCCAATGGAAAGTTAATGAAGCTTAAATAAAAATCAAGAATCAATTTTGATCTACAAGTTCGGAATATTAGATAATAGCTTCAACTTCTATTTAAATTTATAAATCTTTCTTATCATCATATTATACCTAATGTAAAATTATACCCATGCACATATGAATATTTTTAGCATTTTCCGTGTAGAAATCCAAGTTTCGAATCCTGGATGATTGAGCGGCGCATGGATTTGATCCGTGGATGGATAGATGGATAAAAGACAACTTTCCACCCAAACGGCGAAAACTGGCAATATTAATTGAATCGAAAGAGCCTACCGCTGACGCCAAAGCTCGGAAAGCGGCGAAGAGGGGTTTTTTTGGGTTCTTGTATATACACCCCTTACATCTTTCATATTTGCAGAACTTTCTTTCAGATCTTGATATTTACAAATTTGCCCCTCAATTCTCACCCATTGAACTTTTGTACCCCTTCCACTTAACAGGTTTTTAAAGTACTGTACAATCTTAAAAAATTTCATCGATGTTGTAACATAATCTTACTCAAAAACCAAAATTATTAAGTGAGGTTAGAAAAACTAATGTCAGAGAATTGACGGATAGTTTTGCAGCTACTAAGATTCAGAAAGCAACTTTAAAAATATAGAATATTTAACCCCTATAAAATTTTGAAATTGCAGTAAAACCCACTGGATTTTCACATTATGCGGAAAACCCCCGTAAGTTAGAAAGAAAAGCAACATAAAAAGATATTCTGAAAGTTGTTGTCATGTGCAATTTACCCAGAAGATATTGGAGATTTCCTGCAAAAATTACTGGGGACTCAGCGTGAGTTTTGAAAGATATTTTATATTCTGAAAATGATAACAGAGCTCAGACTCGGTTAGGCCACATTATCACGCGCTGAAAGTTAGAAAGAACCAAACTACAGAGAACCAAACGCAGAACCCACGCAAACTCAAGCTTAAGATTAAACCTACTAGCATCACGACAACATTCAACACAAAAGTACACATTATTCATCAAAATCCCACAAAACAAACAAACAAACCCCCTCCATTTCTCTAAGAAGTAGCTTCATGTGCTTTGCTCGATCTGCACATAATGCCCATAATCCCTCGCCCTCTCCCTCACATCCCTCGCCTTCTGTACCAGCCGGCTTCTCGCCATGCCAACCGGATCTGCCCCACCGAGTGCTTCCGGCGACGTAGTTATATCCACGCCAGCACCGACACCCGCCGCGGCGAACCCAGCGATACGATCACCCGCTCACCCGCCCAGCAGACCCACGCGCAGCGGCCCGGGAACGCAGATCGGCGAAGATCCGTGTTAAAAAGACGACGGCCGCCGCCATCCAAACCAGCCGCGATGACGGTCCGGTCACAGAAGCCAGCGAGGATCACCCAAGGCAGGAGACGATCGATCCCTGCGGCGTCGCACGGAACTTTACGGTCTGACGATACAGGCTCCAAGGCTCCATTTGTTGATGTGAGAGCCGATCGAGGGGGCTTGAGCTAGCTCGTGTCGTGCATGCAACGCACGCGAGGGCTTGTTGTGGGGGTTGCGTCTCGATGTTTCTTCGTTTTGTGAATTTTGACGAGAGAAGCAAACGGATGGTGCGAGGTTGGGAAGGGATATATAGCCTCCTGCCGCACCGAAATAAGAAGAGTTATCAATCTATTTTTTACGGACGTGTATCTCGATTTGAATTCTCCCCACATTTTTTATTGGATTACAATTTAATTTTAGCCGTTTCATTATTCACTTGGTGAGTGTTGTTTTCAAGTAATAAACAACATAAATCATTACAGAACGCAAAGGATGTTAGTTTTGGGGGTGGATTCAAACCTCCGACGGCGGAGGAGCTCCGACGAAGCCCAGGCGAGGTTGTCGACGACCAGACGCAGGCGACAGAACGAAGCTCGAAGCCCGAGGTCTGCGTTTCGAACCCCCTCGAACTCTGCGTTCGCCTCTTCCCCCTAGCTCTGCGTTCGCCCCCTAGCTCTGCGTTCGCCTCCTAGCTCTGCGTTTGTTTTGGCGAACCCGACCTTTGCGTCAGGGTTGTTCGCTGGCGACAGGCTGTCGCCAGCTCTTCATCTCTGCCTATATAAACACCCTTTTGTGCCCTAGGGTTTGTGCGAGTCTCTCCTCCGACTTTCCCTCTGGCGGCGGAACCCTCAGAAACGCAGCAGCGTTCATTTCCTCTTCGTTGAAATCGCAGCTGCGATTTGGGCCTTTTTATCTCCAGCTCTCAATTGATGAGTATTGAGGGGAGATTAAGAAAAGAGATTAAAGTAGAGAGAGGAAAAGAAAGAGGGGTTTATATTGTGGGGTTTTTTATTCTCAAGTGAGAATTGAAAGGGTTCATACCCTTTGATTATTAACACTGTAGCTACAGTGTTTATTTGAGAAATCTCAGTTTTGAGATCTGCTCCTAAATTATAATTTCTTGTTTGATTAATAAAAAATTTATTGTGTGGCTCCCGAGGACGTAGGCAGTTGCCGAACCTCGTTAAAACTTGGTGTACTTCTTTCTATACTGCGTTTCTGTTGCATTAGGGGTTTAGGCGTTAAATTCCCAACAACTGGTATCAGAGCGTGAAACGATCTAGAGGAAGTCAGATTCAAGTGGGAGCCATGGCCACAGATGAGGCAAAAATGAGACTTGAGAAATTTGATGGAACAGATTTCGGATTCTGAAAAATACAGATAGAGGATTATTGAATTAAAAGCAACTAAAAAGGATGGGAAAAAAAAATATTTTTCTTTTTTTTTTAATTAGGGTTAACAATCAAACAAATGAGAAGGGGGGATTTGTTTGAATTTATTATCTTGTTAGTAAATGTCAAAGTGAAGGGTGAATTTTATTATGGTCTACGGAAATAATTTTTTTTTTTAAGATCCTAATTGTCACTAATTGTGAGAAACTAACTAAAGGTGTGGAATTGAAAATATAAGGAAGAAGACTTACCACAAGCGAATATCCAATTCCTCAATCTCCAATTCTTGATCTTTAATCTCCAAGTAGTTCTTTCACAATAAACACACAAGTTAAAGAACCAAAATAATTAAAACCTACTTAAGCACCTTCCCCGGCAACGGCGCCAAAAACTTGATGCGGCATAAACATGTACCAAAAAGGTTGCAAGTGCACAACCGTGTCAAGTTATAGTATTTAAGATATCGATCCCACGAGGAAGGTGTTTTGTAGGAGAAAATATAAAATCGGTTCTTATGTTGTGTGCGTGATAAGTAGGAGTGATAAGTGAATGTGATTGTGAAGAGATTGAGAGAGTGAAAATGGTGTGTAAATAGGTGCAAAGTGTAAGTGAGAGTGGATTTGAAAAAAGAATGAGTGTGATCAAAAAGGCAAGAAGGAAAAAATGAATAAAATCAAGAAACAAATAAAAAATCAAGAATGAAGAACAAAATTCAAAAATAAAAGAAAATGCAAGAAATTAAAGATGGTAGATTCAATTATAGATTTGGGTAATCTACCCTAGAGGGTTCTAGCCTAAAGGCGAATCAAACAAAATAAAAATAAAAAAAAAAAAAAACTAAACCCAAGAGGGTTCTAGCCTCAAGGTGAATAGTATAAGAAATTAAAATCTAACTACAAAATAAATTACAAAATCTAAACTACAAAATAAAATTACAAGAATTAAATGTAAGAAAATAAATCTACTCTATAAGCATGAAATAAAACTAAGGCAAGAGGGTTCTAGCCCCTTGGCTATTTAACAAGAAAATAAAATCTAACTACAAGCATAAAAATAAATCTAAACTAATAAGCAATAAAAGAGAAAAAGAAAAGAAATGCAAACCTTCAAATAATTCTCCATCTTCATCTTCATCTTCATCATCCAACAAAGAGAAGAAGAGAAAAATTTAAAGTGGTGAAAAAATTATTATTATTAATTGCAACTAAAAGTTACAATTTTGGAAGGCCTTCTCAATTAAGAGTAGCCCTCCTCTCCAAAAGGAGTTACAAAAATTTTCACACCTCTAACCCCTCACTCTCTACCCCTATTTATAGTAAACATCAGTGAATGAGAGCCATTGGATCAAACTTGAGCCCCAAGACAAGCAAAATCAGCCATTGACGCGCGCTACAGTAATCTGGTATCGATGCAGGTATCGATGCAGGTATCGATGCCAGCATCGATGCCCACATCGATGCTGACATCGATGCCCACTATTTTCAAATTCTGATTTCACGGATAGTTTCGTCTCGTCGAGATAGGCGATTTTCATATATTATATGTTAAATTCCGCCTTCCGGATTAGGAGATATCGTCGTTTCTTTGTGGCCAACCATTTTGAA